ATTGCATGGAACAGGAAAGACGAGTTTTTGTCCTGGTTTCCCGTGCCATGGGAATGCCTATCCTACTGTGTCGGGTTTTGCGTGGGAACTTAGGGTAAGTTATGTGTAAAAGGTCAAGTCAATTCATATTTATGAGGTAATTAAAGAAAACCGCCTTTATAGATGTACAACTACTTACAGTTTTGACTTTTGACCTATTGGTATAGATCTGTTTCTAATTCGATTTATAAGTGTTACGCTTTCAACTAAATGGGCTGAAACAATTTTTTTAAATTAATATAAATTTACTTTAGTTTTATAATATTAGGAATAGGAATTACACATTGACACGATCATTATTAAAACATAATTAAAATGAAGAAAACAATTGGCAAATTTTCAACAATAAACCAGCTAATTCGCTAACAATACCACTTTCCATTTGTTTTACTTTCACCAATGGTTCGTAAATGGGAATAAAATCAATTGGTATTCAACTGATGTTTCGAGAATGATCAATATAATAAATAATTATATAATAATAATTACAAATAGTTATGTAATTATATTTATTTACTTATACACAATATAGTTTGTGTTCTACTCGTACATATACATATATGTTATTTGTAAAATTATAGTGTAAAAAGTACGTGGTTATATGTAATGTGTAATATAAGGTATAAACTTTCGCAATAATTTTAAAAGTTTAGTTTAAACAGGAAAACAATTAAAAAATACTAGGTACCTACTCTAAATCAATTAAATATAATAAAAATTAATTATAATTGGTTAAAATCGCTTGATTTCCAGCGAAATAATTATAGTTTGAATCGAGACTCTCATACCTACTCCCAACGTAAAAAGAGTTATCAATGGAACTGACGAAGAAATATATCTGTCCCATGCCCCATTCGAAATAGAGGTGCTTCTTTAATTCGTTTCCTGCATATATGCTCAAATTTTTTAATCAATCGTAACCAATTATAAATTATATAAACTTCGTGAAACGATAAAAACTATAATTGGTTAAAAAATCAATGGATTGCCAATATATATGAGTTTACGGCTAATAGCTCAATACAAGGTTTTGAAAGCCTGAAGGTTATTTATCTTATGAAACTCATGATCTGAGCAAACGCGAGTAACATACACTATACAGAAACGTTTCTTAATAAAATGAGTCGTTTTGAAGTATGAATGAATTTCTCCTTCACGTTTTGCTTTTACTTAATAATTTTTAGTTGCATTGATAGTTCTCTAATCAAATCATAGAAAGTTTTTGAATACTTAATATTGTATATGTGAAATTTCGTTAATGGCTCACTGTCAACGAATAAAACGGAAAATCTAAGAAAGTTAGTAAACATATTTCAATGTTTATAAATTCGCACCCATTCTCAATCGAGATGTGCTCATGTTTTTCAACAAATACCCAGTTTAAAACGATTCATTGCGAGTAATGTGTCATGGAATCGATTGTTTAATAAACATTTTTTCGTAGGTGGCCCTGTTCTATATATTTAAGGTCTTATTCATAAACGAACTATATGGCCTTTTAAATGTTTAGTGTATTTAAAAGTATCGCGAAGAATGATGTCAGTAAATAAAAAATAATAATATTCAAGAGCCTTTTTTATTTGAGGCTTATTATATGTTTAGGACTTATGAAATCGCGTCAACCTGTAATTGTTGTCATAATTGCTGTCATTCTCTATACAAATTATTCACTAAAAAACTTCCTTCCGGTGCACTTCTGGTACTCCCCGATTCTTTGATTTTGAACGAACTTAAATAGATAAAATAATAACAATATGTATTTCGAATGCGCGTAACTTTACACAAACTTGAAGCTCCGTTTTGTGTACAAATGTCTAATAATAAGTAATTATTTATTTTATTTTATTTAGGTTAATATTGATATCTGATTGTTAGCACGATATTAAGTGTAACGACCTCGAGACTAAACAGAGAGCAAAACCTATTGAAGTAGAACTGTAGAACCTATTTTAAGGTTATTATAAAAAAATCCAAATGTACCGGACTACATTGGAGAGGAAAATGGACCATGATAGAGACTGATTGTTTATACAATGCAATTATGAAATCCTTAAATATCATCATTTTTAAAATTGTTTGTCCCAACAGATTCCTCAATTCCGAATTTAAATTTCAAGATCTTATCCTGTGGCTTAGTTAAACAAACCTGCAACTAAGTGACTTGGTGTGAACATCCTAAAAAATATTATTTCCACATTCGAATAACTAATGAACCAGAGACATTTACCTATACAAATTATCATGAACGCAGAAATGGTTTGCAATCCCAAAAACATATATTACGTATATTATATATTTAATACTAGATTCTGAAATATCTTGTATATAATATTAAGTATTTGAATAAAACTACCATGCGCCCTTTCCCTGTTTATTGCCGGATACAAGAGTCACTGAACCGCTAACACACGATACTTTTACGGCATTACCTGTAAATACAGATGTATGACTGTATGAGCCATACAACTCATAAATAATAATCTAGTAACAGGTTTAAAAAGATGCTACGAAATTGAGGTATTGTTAAAACGTTCTAATCAAGTCTTCTAAAGATTGACTGCCCTATAGATAATTCAGTTGATTTATCTAAACGGGGTACTAAGGAACCTAGATGCTACAAATAAAAGTCGAATATACGAATCCATTTTACAAGCTACAGCTAGATAACTTATTCGGATACGTTATAACTATGACTTGCCAATCACACAAGTTATTTATCGGAAAAAAACTATTCGATCTAGTTTGCCGCTTCGCTGGATCTATTTCAAGCCATTATCTGTCCTATATATATCATTAAGACCTACTTATATGATATAAGCGGCCTAATGCTAATAAATTAGATTTAAAACTTTTACATTACTAGTGTGGAGTTGACTGCGGTTTCTCTCGACCGAAGTCTGTAAGCGGTCATGTTTACACAAATATAACTATAACGAAAATCATTTTCTTAACAAACCTTCGTTTCTAAACTAAGTGAAAAAGGCAAAATAAGGTGCTGTGGTCGAATAACTCGATTTTAACCCCAGAGAAAAAAAATATTACAACGCTAAACGTGACATAATATTTATGTTATAATTTTTAGTTGTTCGTTGTACGTTTGTTAATACTTGATCTTATTAATTACAAATTCATTAATGTATTTAATAATTACGGGGCCAAGGTATGTATTAATGAATAAATTGTTCAACACAGTTATTTAACAAACATATTTTTATTACGGCGAGATATTAGAACTCTCTCAGCCAAATGAGTCATCATGAGTACCTGTATGTCTTTTGTTCATGGTTTTCAATCCGTTATGACGTCACACTAACGTTTTTCGACCATCCATCGTCACTATTAAGAAGACTTAGCTTTGAGCTTTAAAATTTTAACATTTCTTATTCTGTGGTTTATAATTCAACGTTAATATGATCTAATCTATTTATACATCAGTTTTGAGAGTTTTTGACAAATAGGGCTTATGGTGGGAATATATGTATACAGGCAGACATGCATAATTTAAACTTTTAATTTGAAAGAAACTCGCTTATTTATTACCTCAAATTATAACTTTAATAATTAATTAACCTAAATCTGTAGTTTATTGATTTTATGATCAAACATATTATTTTTATTAGTTTACCGAGACAAGTTTTTTTTAAGAAGCAGATAGAATGCACTTCAAAATAGCACCCTTACCCTAATACTGTTATCTTAAGCCTCTGCCAAAAAGATGACGAAGCTATGCAGTAAATATTGAAAAATATAATATATTTACATTTACAACCATATATTTCTCTACTAACAGCTCATTATATTAACTCTATTTAATTAAGTAACATTAAAGTTAAATCAGTACATATTATTATATTGCAGTTTTTTAGAAATAACAATATACTTAATAATATAGACGGTAATAATGTCTTTAATTTCCGTTTTTTTTGTTCTTTTTATTGATATTTTAAGTGATTTTTTAACTGTCACATCGTATTACGCTCGAACTCTATTTCGCGTAAGTTTTAGGGCCAGCCATTAACACCTGTTTAATCGTAGCTTTTGAACACTTGTTACAATAATACTCTTTTTTAATTTGTATTATATGTTTGAAATATTTAAAATCTAAATATTATATGTTTAATTATGGCTCTACATAAAGTTGGCAAGTGACAAAAAATATTAAATATCGTAGGTATTCTCCTTTATTAGTTTATAGGTGTTATAAGAGAGCAAATATTGTATAAAGATAGATTGAAAAACCAACACGAAGACAATTATCAGAGCAGATCCCATAAAAACCGGATTCTTAAAACGTTAACGTTAGAATAAGTCTGAATAAAGATTAAATATTATATTACCTCGCCAGTCGCGTATGAAAAAGAAGACAGAACTAGCGTCAAAGCCTCCGCCTCAAGGACAGTAAACCACAAACAGAAAACTTGTCACAATTTCGAAACACTAAGGCACTAATTATTAATACTTGGAGAACTGAGAATGTTTAAACACTATATAGAAACTTCTATAAATTATTTGTATGTACGTATTAAATACGCAGGTTACAAACAGGATTTATTTACGACTGTAATTTCACTAAACACACCTGTCACATACGCAAGTTCTGCGGTAACTGACCGTGTTGCAGCGCTGTGCACTTATAGATCTTCGAGCGCAAAGCGCTGTAAAAACATATTCAATATTGTGGCGCCTCATAGTAATGAAATTTTTATTAATACACACTTTTACTCGGTTATAACCTTCATATTCCTATTAATAATTATTCAAAAAACTACAAAATACAAAACCTCTTGCAATACAGTAATTATAAAAAGTAATGTACATACAAAAATTATATATGTAAAATTTATAAATAAATTGCTTATTCTCTAATATACTCGTACTTTGATATTTATCAAATCTTAATGAAAATACAACCAGCAGTATCTCCGCATAAAAGTAGTAAGTTTGAATTTATTTCACTATAGATGTTGGCGGGAGGTTTTACAACAAGCGACGGAAGCGCTTTAAAGGTATATTTCAAGAAAGAGACAGACAACATTGACAGTTTGTATTGTAAATTATGAAGATACCAAAGATGTAAGAGAAGGACGACTGCTAAGCGCTAAGCTTAAAACGCAGTGGATTGTTTTAACAAGAACTAATTACTAAATAGTCAAGTCATAAATAGTGTAATATTATTTTTAATACGGATTAAAAATTAAATATGTAGGTAGTTACTGTACTGTACTGTATTATTTTAAAATTAAAATTTATTGTTTTACATAAAATATTGATAAAAGTAGTTGACAGACGAAATCTAGTTAACTTGTGTTTTAAAAGGCTCTACTTTTTCTGGTATCTAAAAACCAACACATATTGGTCTGAAAGTCGAGATTTACATGTAAAGGACGTACAACTTCTTAAAAAGTATTGTAAAATATGTTTAAAAACGATGGCGACGTGGTTTACGAAGTTATGTTTTGTTCATAAGCACTAAGCACCGTTCCACTATGTTGCGCGTGCGCCGTACCTCCTGTTACCTGGTACGGACAGCGCCACTCCCCTCCCTCACCTCTACCGCGTATTTCGAATTTTCAACAAATGACAATCGTGGCCAGATTACTAACAACTGTTTAAATTTTGTGTTGTCTACTACTAAGGTTTCCAAAACATTATTTTAACTTATTAAAGTAAATCAAATTCCAATAAAAATTAAAACTAAATGTATTTGGTTCTTAAAAGGAGTTAGGAGCACAAAATTAAAGGAGGAAAATTATTGTTTTAAAAAGCTGTTTCGAAGAATACTTATTAAACATTCATTTTTACCTCCCGAAATAAAATAATATTTTGGGCATCATTGTCTAGCTGGAAATTCCAAGGAACTTCAGGAAGGCAAATTTTATATAATTATTCAAAGTTTTACTAAAATTACTAGGTAAGGATATCCTATAATATAAGATATGTCATACAACCTAAAGTCAGCCAGCGATTCTGCAAATTTACTTAAAAATAAAGTTAATTCATCACGGCTTTTTCAAGGGCCAATTTACACCATTTCCATTTCCAATATTTATGAAATTTAAAGTTATGGAAACGCTTTTAATGGATTATATAAAAATACTGATATTGTCAAGGGTTTAAACAATACTTTGTTACTATATTGATAATTAAATAATTGGTTCAAGTTAATTTTTAAAATACTTTTTTTGTAATTAATTGAAATTTTTGAAATAACTATAGGTTAGCATATTTTACGTAAGGTCTACATAAGTTAGTCTGTATCAATATATGTATGTCACACTTGTAGACCTTGGTCAAAATCCTCATGGAGGTCGGTCGGTTTAAAATAAATTCTTTATTTGACAAAATTTATTTTATTTTATATACCAAAGTATAACTGTGCAAAGCATAGTACTTCCTGTTTTAGTGTGAAAATTATACTTCTCCTAAAATATCATCATTAGGATTGGCCTATAATTAGGTAATTGGTTTAATAATAATCAATATTTAAATGTGTTTTAATTACTACCTCTTAAGTTATAGTCTATGACAATACAGTTAGTTACAACCACGTCATTTCTAAATGTGATTACCTAAAAAAATGTGTTGGTAATTAGAATATGCAATTATGGTGTGAAAGTAATAGATTAAGTTATAGTTGTAACACAGACTATAATTTATTATTTTATCTAGATATTTAATAAAATATTGATTTGAAAATAATCGTTTATAAAAAATATAAGATCATCTTTCTAGCATATTCTCGAGACGAGAAGATAACTGTTTAATTAGTGTCTTTATAGTAATTAAAAAACTGTACATTTACATAATTAGACTCATTTTTCATGGTGTAAATAATAACCAATAGTAATCTTTATCACATATTTACAACTGAGATTTTAAACATTGAAGGTCACATGTTGAATGGCATTCCTTAGAGGAAAGTATTATTTTTAACTCACGTATAATTTTATTTCTACTAAAACATGCAACGTAACATTTTCCAAATCTTATAGATTTTTATCTAATTTCAATACATTTAATTCGATTATCGTAGCCGGCTCTTATTACCATAGATCATGACACGGGCTTTTAAATTATTCTATTAAAGTCAATTGTGTGTTGTGGGTGCTGTAGTACGGTTGAGAAACACACTGCTGCGTAGTGAAAAGTGCAAGTGATAATTGTTTAAAAAAGTAAGCTTTTATTTCATACACAATAGCAAAGGAAAATAATCATAATAAATAATTGTGAAGCATTTTCTATAAATTTACGATTGTGTCATGCTATAATCATAGCCGTGTAGATCAGTTAGAAATGTTTTAATTCTCTGTAATATTGCGTGTCACAAATGTTCTATGTACTCTATACAGTCTATCAAATATATATAGATATGGCTTTAGGCATAATTTAACTGTGTAATGTTTTAAAATTTTGTGAAGTTGGAATTCTATTAGTAGACGTAAACGCGAGCATCCGATTTCATAAAGATAGATTAGTCGAATAACAGTCATACCTAAATGCCGTCTGACTATCGAAATTTTACACGTATTAGTATATGGAAAGATTTTATTTTTAACAAATTACACATTGTAATTAAAAGAGTCGAAAGAGTTAAGAAGTTAGTGTTATAAGAAAAAACATTACGTATGAAAATGTATCTTTAAAAATATATCAACTATTTCTTCATTTAATTATTTACTTACGGCATGCGTAAGATCTATATAATTTAGAAATATATACTGGATCTCACATGGCTAAGTTATAATACTCTTTAGCATAATAACTTTCATCAGCTTTAATAACGCATTTCAAACTTATAAATCGTTTTCAGTGGCAATATCACGGCTGGCTGGTTGGTGGCGACATTCGCTCAAAACAAGACCGGTGTTGACCAACACGATTGTCTATGCCAGCTTCTATACCGCTGCAGAACTGTCTCAGCAGACATTTAATAAAATTTATGCAGTAAGATCAAGTAATTAACTCATTTTAATCAAATCGATCGAGTATTTGTATTATACAACAACATAAATTACGTGACGAAATTTCAAAGATAAATTTATGAAGAAAACATTTATAAAACTATCAAAAACCCTATTTACCGATCTCTGTCGTCCATATAAAATAAATTATGTGCAAGAAATAAAAAATTATCTGGCAGCGGTGGGATTCGAACCCACGCCTCCGAAGAGACTGGTGCCTTAAACCAGCGCCTTAGACCGCTCGGCCACGCTACCCATGACAGTAGGTCCCATATTTTCTTCCCGTTTCTGGAGGTAATCTATTATGTGAGGTAGTCTGGTTGTATTTTTAAACTGTATAAAATTAGCACATAAATGAGTCATCATACCGGGTTTGACTAGATTAACAATAATTATTACGTTAAGATTTTGTCACTGAATGGAAATATAAAATAGCTTTGAAGCGGCTGATATAAATTTTAAAATCAGTTTGAAGATGAAGTATATCTAGGTTATACATTATATAATTATCTTGCCTTGACGTTATAAAAATATCCACATTTAAAAGGGATATCTTTCTTACAGCCTGAGAAGCCCGAATTGGATTTAAAAAGTGCCGGTCGAATCGCTGCAGTGGGCAGCACATTATACGCGCCAACATTATATTTCTGGTAAGTCATAAAAAAAGAAAAGATATTGTTAGTGTCAATGAATATAACAAGACCGCGTATACATTATAAAAAAAAACATTAGTAGGGAGGACATTTCAGGCGCGTGTTTTTCATGTAAAAATCAATCATGAAAATAAATAAAATTTATTCATTTTCATGAAATAATTTAAATATTTTTTTATAAAAATAAATGTAAAATTTCTGTTCCCCGATTGTATCTTTAATGCTGGGTGCATTTCCTCGCTCTAATGCGATACTTGTTCGTTGACGGCATAATGTATCTATGAAAAAAGTAGCCTTCTAAACTTTTGAATATTATAGCGTATTAAGACAATTCCTATTAAGATAATCACATAGATAATATGTCGGGAAACAACTGAACTATCACAGTACTTGGCTCTGGAGTCTGGATGCAATGTGTGATAGTGTCTATTATATAGTATAATATATATAGAGTATATACCTACTCTATTAAAAACTATTGTTGCAATATTTGTAAATATGTGAGCACCATGTATCTACATAATAATTTAGTTATCTGGTGCATTATTTTTTATATCACCATGCGCTTAGTTTATTTTAGTATAGAAATTTTTTTTCCGTCTAGGACCTAGATACATGGTCATCACATATTATAATTATCAAATCAATGCATACAAAATATTGTAAAAACTATTTTAAAAGGATAAGTATGGAAAATCTTGCCCATTCTTCTCTATATGAAACTACCTTTTGAAAGGGGCAAATAGAGCCATTTTTTTTTGATATTTTTAACTTGTAACTTTGACTTTTAAAAGTGCCTTTTTAATAGGCCTAAATGAAATAAATGATTTGACTTTGACTTTGAGCAGTCTACTGTCTATATATCGTATCTTGTGACTTGCAAACATTGCAATTAATGGTAATCGGAACGGTGAAACTATTAGGAAAGTAGGATAGGAAATCTAGTCCAAGTGTCGTATAGTACTTATTTGTATATATTTGCATGCGTAAACATAAGTTCCGTTTCATTGGATACGCCGACGCAACTGTCGAAAGTTCTCTGATTTCCTAATGCTCAGTGCACTGCATTTCCATAATACGCGGTCGATTTGTTAGACTTTTCAAATCCAATAAGTTATGTGATCTGTGCACTAAAAGATAGAAAATTTATAATTATTATAAAAGTAAAATAAAGCACGGTTATTCGACAACTAAATCAATCACATATACAGATGTGCACATCTCTAGTTAATAAATATTGATTACGGAAGATATCTCGTTCGGTGTAATTGATTTGCGCTCTACAGAAAACCACATTTAAATAATACATTGATTGTAAACAACTTATTAACCATTCCTTTTGAGACTTACGTAGATATGTTTGCGTAATTCCTTACGTCAAGGATCCTTTACTTTCCAATAAGCACCTAAAGAGACATAGATACAGAACTACTGAACTAACACATTATTATAAATCCTTCAGATCTAGATGGCAGATGGGGAATTAAACGATCTATTACGGTCCCCTCTAGTTAATGGTTTTATTTACAGGTACAAATTCCTAGACCGGAAGTTTGTAGGGACTTCGATGAGAGCCGTTCTTACCAAAGTAGCGTCTGACCAGTTTCTTATGACTCCAGTATTGCTGGCTGGTTTTTATATATGTAAGTTACAGACGAATATAATCCTAATATATTTTAAGATACGTAGTGACAGAGGGATATATAATAAAAAAAAACTGAACAGAATGATTCGTTTATAAAGAAATAAATGAAATTATCTTTTTCTAAAAGAAAATAAAAAAAATCGTGATAAAACTACGTTAAGACAAATTTTCACATCATACAATAAAAACGTAATATAATAGGAGTGATTCCAACTCCTACCTCCTAATATCAAATACCTCTAAATATCGATTAGAAATCCCCAAAGTTTTTGTTGTACAGATTGAGAGGTAATTTCAAATATGCATTACAAATGCAAGTTGTATAAAGAGCTCTTATATCGATTTTGAAGTTTTAGCTCTTTGATACAGATACCGGCTAACTTCTTGAGCATTAAACAAGGGAGTGGGGGAATGTTTGCGCATCGTACACATACGAGCAAATAAACGTCAACTGATTTACCAATCACGCGATCGACACGTCACTCTCCCGCCCTCTGATACCTAAAAATCGCTTCTGTTCAAGATGTTTGCCGGTATCTGTATTTCAGTTGAAGTGCAGTTCCAGTGCTTATCCACGCGTGGAATCTGTATTTTGTTTAGTTTGTTGGTTCGATGCTTAATATAATATAGTATAGAATCGTGAGTCGTTTTAGAAAAAAAAATACCCCCTAAAACCCCCTAAATAAATGTACCCCCTAAAAAACCCCTGTACACCGTTAGTCGTATAATAATAAACCTATGGCGCTACAACCCTATATGGGGTTTGGCATCCGTTTCGATCATTCATTTTAAATACGAGTAGTATCAGCCTTCTGTGTTTGACACATGTCATCGATTTTTGGGTTTCTTATGCCGGCCAATTCTAGCCTTTATCCTATTAATATTAAACTAACTAATTTGTACAACATTACATCTGTACATACCAGAAATCCTGCTAAAGTACTGTGCGTCTTTTTCAGTACTTGGAACTCTCGAAGGTAAAGAAGACGTGCTAGAAGAATTGAAACAGAAATATTGGAAGACATTTATAGCGAATCAAGCGTTCTGGATCCCGGGACAGATAATTAATTTCGCATTTGTACCTCCAAATCTGCGAGTGGTTTATGTAGCCTCTGCCTCATTTCTTTGGATAAATATATTGTGTTTCATTAAGAGACAGAAAGTGGAGGTGAAGGAAGCGTGAATGTACAAATATTGTTGTTTGATAACATTTTTTTTTTAACGAGAGCTTAACGCTTTTGTTTGCCTATATAGTTATAATTTATAAACATGTTTAATAGACTAATAAATTATTTCAAAATGTTGTTATATTTATAAGCTGGGTTTTACTCGACACATACATCCTTTCAAGTTAAAATATACTAAAAGTGTAGTTTATATTGATTTTCTTTGAACGTCACATGTATTTAATTCAATTACTGAATTCTGTGTGTGTGTCTGAATTCGTCAGTTTACTGTGTATTATAGAAAATCTTACGATTTCTACTGTGACTACTGTGTGTGTAGATGGTGGATTATTTTTGTGTACGAAACAAAAAAACAAACACTGGTTTGAATATACACACAATACTAACTTTAGATTGAGACATGTATTGCCTGATTAATCATAATAGAAGCCCGATTAATTTCCAATCATTACAAAAATAGAATATACAGCTTAGATTTGTTATATATAAATTTTTTTTCTTGATATGCTAATATCCTAGCTTCCTTCATTACCTGATTATTCTAACCAAAATAGCTACTAAGTAACGATTCTAAGTGTAAATTGTAAGGTGCATTATTTCATAATACACAGACATATCCACTACTAATTAGATCATATCCAAGACTCAGAAATTGTTATGGTTTCTCTTAGACGACTTCACTACTTGCATTATTTCACCTAGTTTGTATTGTGGCTTGTGCGAAAAAAGATGGAAAATTATTTAAGAGACTTGGAGAAGGGAATAGTTTTTCCAGACACTATTGCAAGTGATTTAGTTGATCGAGTATCTGATCGAATAGGATATTTAATTCATAACCTAAGCTGTGTGCTAGCTGTTGTAATGTCGTTTTTACTTGGATTTGAAGTAAGTCAGTAGAAGGTTTCAATACGTTTATCTAATGTTATTATAATATGAAATAGATTTTTTTGACCTTATGGTTTATTCCTTAACAAATATGTATGTAATATGCGTTTGTCAAGTACGGGTAATATACAAGGCAAGCAGGCTACCGCTGGGGTATAGTTCTAATATTATGTTATATCAGAACATTTTCCTCGAGAACTTACTATCTTCTCTATGTAGTACCGTATTCTCTATAATTAATTGTTATTTTTTATTACAGTACGATAAAGTTTGGAACAAAGTTAAATTAAAAATCGATGATAAGGGCATATTAAGAATATCGGTTTTAGTCGTTTTATTTTTTCTTCTACCAGCGCTTTTAATATTTATCCTGTTGAGTTTGATTTATAAGAACATATGCTCTGTGATTATTAAAGGAAAAGATGAACATTTTGTATCATTTCTTGAAAGTTTTGACGTGTTTTGGAGTTTAGATGACGCTAACAAAAACGTCATTGAGGTTCTTGGTTTTATAGAAGCCGACTCTCCAGATGCATTAATTTTGAACATAAGAGAAAGACTCAATCATTTAGTAGGCAATGCAGCAGTAGAAAAGATATTTTATAGACGTCTTGAACAGTTTGGGCTCTACTACTGGCATAGACCCGACACTGTTGATGTTTCACAATATGTAAAGATACTTAAGATTTCCAATACAAGCGGGCTTAGTAAACGCGATCTAGAAACCATCATGACTCAATTATCTGAAGATGCTTTGCCATACGATGGTGAAGGTCTCTTTGAAATACTGGTAGCCGATATTCAAATAACAGAAGAAGCATTTTTAAATAACTACGCGATAATGTTTAGGATACATCATTCAGTTGGTGATGGCATCGCTTTGATAGAGTTTTTATGTAAAATTTTGGCTGATGAAAGTGATATAAATTTATTCAAACCTCCAGAAGTTTGCAACCTGATCGAAGAGAATTTAGCAAAAGATTTAGTAGATTTGTTGAGCAAACTCAAGGAAATAATCATGTGCACAGTAGACGGAGTAATACGAAAACCTGACCTTAATTCATTGCATGGGCCAAAACTTGAGGGCAAGAAACATTTTAAGTGGATTGATACCAATTATAACCTACTGGATATGATTAAGGAAATTAAAGAATCCCAGAGTGGTTTAAACTTTACAGATATATTAGCAACTGCATTATCCTCTGGATTACGAGACTATTTTTCTCAGGTTGGCTGGTCTTTAATTTACTTAATGACGTTACTTATTTTTATATTGAGTTGAAAGTGAATTGGAAATTAAAAATTGTTTTTTGAAGTATTTTATAATAGTAATTATGTTATTACTTTGTCAACAGACTATGCTTTACGTACCGGATGATGTAGCAGTAATAATTCCTATAAGATTGAGTGAATCTGATAGGATATTGAAGAACAATTTTACAGTTACCATACTGCCACTACCATTGACAGGTGATTTAAAAATCATCAACCAAAGTTGTAATACGCTGCGCAAGAGTCTGGACCCTTTAGTAAGTAAAATGGCTTTCAATATTGGAAAATGTTATAGTTTCTTGAGTTGATATCCAACTGATAATGAAATCCTTTCTGTTGTATTCGTCTATGATCAATTCGGATCAGGATGAACGCAATGAATAAACGAACACTAAAACATAAAACAAACCTTACCAGCCCCAAACACTTAGAAACTGTATTATATTTTCTCAATATCCCATCTAGGGTTTCAAGTCTCGTAACTTATTCTGCATCTTCCCCATGCATAATTTTTTGTATTTTGTCTAATATCTTTAATTTCGAAAAGTGTGAGAACTGTGACTGTAAATTCTTTTGCTTGTACTTGTGTTCACAATGTACGGATAAGTTCTTCATAAGTTCAAAATTACCTATTTATTAATTATTACTTATTGTTGCGTTTCACGACGGTCAGATAGCGCTATTCGTCACATAAAGTCCATCATAAGTTATGAGTCCGATGAATGTCAAATAACACAATTTATCTTCCAAATATTTTATGTGTTGCATAGCTATTTGGTACTTTATCCATACATTGTGAAACATACCCTACTAAATGTACCATCTGAAATAATTATCAACTGTTGTGCTAAAAATCGAAACCAAGACCAACTGGCGGGTGGTTATACGCCTTGCGAGTACCAAGTGCTTACGCCGCTATAGCCACGAATAGTTTAATTAAGAACTAGTAAATATATATTTTTTTTAATTTTCAGACGAATCATTATCTATTAAAATTGTGTAACATTTGCCCGAAATGTATTCTGGAGCCAGTTTTCAATAGTAACCAGGCGACGATGGTTTTTAGCAACATTCCTGGTCCAAAAAGCTTAAGCATATGTGGCTGCGCGATGCAATCCATGGTATTCTTTGTACCAAATAAGGGATCCACCGGTTTGTGAGCTTTAGAAATGCTTTTTTACAATTTATTTGAGTTTAAAATAATGATAAACATTAACAACGAATATACCTTTACTTAATTACCTAGTAACTAGGTAATAACGTCTATTATGTTATTACACTGGAATCTCTAAAACTCGAACCTCGTTAAGTCGAAATCCTCAGTAAGTCGAAAAAATTGCCATTCCCTTCCGCTGACCGGTATCGGATATCTCGTATATCTCAAATTATTTAGATTTTGTAACTCGAACAAAATGTTAGTTCCTTATGAAGTATTGATAATACATATTTGTACTCTATATCTTGAATTTGAAAACGGAGACTCCATAAGTAAAATAAAATGACGTCTTATTTAGAATTCCCCGAAATAATAGCAATAAAATCCAAAATTAATGTTCGGGTTTGGAACTTCTAATCTTTTGTTTTTGTCCTGTACACGTGCAATGAATGCATTCAAAATTTTTTTTGTGTAGGTACAGTTCACTTCATAAATATGTAATTCGTTTAAATATGTAAAAAATATATACTACAAAACTTAATTTGAATTGTTTATCAAATTCGACTCTACAAATTGAAAAATATACATAGAAATCGCGCGTGGCGAAGGTCTTATTAAGTCGAAAACTCGTTAACTAGATTTTCTTTGCATTTCCCTTAACATTCGGAGTTATAGAGATTCCACTGTAGTATGAATAATAATCTCGCTAATATCTAAAACTACTGATTGGATTCTACTAAGTCTAACATGCTCGATGCGAATGTAACATTACACCTCGTAACGTTGGTCAGAACATAGCTTAACAAGTTAAACAGGGTGCGTCATAAAGCCGAATTTCACGCGGACGAATTCGGGGGCGACTAGTTCGAAATTAATATACGCTATATGTTTGTCTTTATTTTCATAGAACAATGAGGAAAAACACTAACCAAACAATTTTTGTCAAAAAACGTGTTTTAGGTGTGGGAGTAACTGCACTCTGTTATGGCGGCGTTCTTAGATTTGCCATAATGGCTGACTCCGCACTTCTGTCAAATCCTGAAGATTTGTCCATAATAATAAATGGGATGGTGCAAAAAATTGGATCATTACACAAAGACTACGTAACGACATAAATATATAGCTACCATTTTGCTATGCAATAGCTTCTCAGTCAAAGGTGAATTTTAACAGATACAATATATTTGTAGGTACAATTATGCCTAAAACTATAATTTTTATTTTGTTAATTGTATTAGTGTAACTTAAAACCATTTTTTAAGTTTTGATAATGCATTTTACTTCCAGATATGGAGAAAGCCAGAAATACCACGAAGTCATACCATCCAATAAAAAGCTTCTACATTAAATTTACCCTGTAATATTATACTAATTATACTAAATTAGATATCACCTGATTTATTTTTATATTACAACAATGAGATATTGATGTTATACTGATATTATTTGAATTATTATTTAAGCATTTCACTACTGGATTTTATGTTTGAAATATTTTATAAAAACCAAACCAATATTAATTTAGTAATGGTGCTAATGTTATAATATAATTATTTAATAAAAAGTAATTTATTAATTTCGTTTTATTTGCTAGAACCACGTGAAAAATTTAGTAACGTATTTATCGTCCTAAAATCAATGGGAAAATTATCTTTTCTTCTGATTAGTTTTACAATTAATTTTTTGGGCTATCTGGACTACATCAGATAGAATGTTATAAGATATGCACATGCACATGCAGACAGGATGATTGTAATTTTATTTTTGATTTGGTTATGCACTTCTTGCTTCCCTTAGTATTTCTTTTTTTGTCTTTGTCCTTACTAGGGTTGCCTGGAAGTTTGTTAGCGTTTGTTAGCGATAAGGCCGACTGTTGCATCACAACAGTAACAGTTTGGCATACAACAGATCTATACATATTTATATATATATGACGGAGAGATTGGTGGTGAGGAGGGAGGAGTGTTATCGTCTAGGGACAGGAAGGTCGGAGGAGTGAGATGAGGATAGAGAGAGACTGAGTCAGGGACCGATAGTTGTCAAAACAACTAACGATAACCTGAACAATGTCTCGAAGGCACGACCTGAATTTTAACAAAAACAGGACGTATATGAAACGTTTTAAGTACAGTAACTTCATAAAAAGATTTTTTTTATTAAAATTGAGTCTATTTTACCCATTTATAAAATCAGAATTTTCATCGGAATCTTCTTCCAAAATCGTATCTGCCCAAGCAGAAGAAGTTGGTGGGTGATTGGCAAATATTTTAAATTACTCCCACACCTTTTTATTGTTTCAGTTGGCACCTTGTGTGAACAGCTAGACTCTCTCAGTCGTTTTAAACCCCATCGTATATATTATTGTAGTATTGATGTCATTGTTTTTAACCCTATTTTGTTCCGGGTTTAAGTTTTAATAAGCTTCATAGAACTGAAAGCTCGTTCAACATCCGCGTACGAATGGAGCAATGACAAAATTATTTTGCCAAATTTCCAAGCTCTTGATATAAGTTGTTTCCAGCAGCATCCTTGCATTGGAGAACTTCGCACCAAAATTTGATGGTGTCATCTTTGTTTTCCCACTCGTGTTCTCCGATATTTCTATATTGTACGAGCACTTTATCAATATCTTCTGGTATCAGACAAAATGCTTCTGCAAGGTGCACTATGCGTGCGACAGTTTTGTTTCGTTTAATTGTCTCTTTAACAGAAAGAGCAGTAATTGTCTCAAAATTATCCTGTAGGTGCTGTTGCAATTCGCTTTTTAATTTTAATGTAAATACAATGCATCTTTTTTTTCAGCGATTTCCAGTGTTGATTTACTCAAGGCATCCTCAAACGAATTTCCCAGATACGGGTTTGCGTCAACGTAGTCGTTTACTATTTCAACGCAATAGTCTACTCTTGAATTCGAATTGTTAATTCTATGACACAAACTTTTAATAAGGTTCTTTAGCATATCTAGAAGAAATACCGGGTTCCTGCTCTTGCCATCAAATATTTTTAATGTTTTTTGGACTTCGCTAAGCAGTGATTTTAAGTTAATCAACTACAATTTATTCCTCTGATCTTGGAACATCGAATATTTTGAGGCATATAACAATTTTCTGCCCTCTTAGAAAGTGTGTTTTGAGTTCATCCCATTGAGAAAGAATTTGAGCTACTGCTGGTTCAATAGAAATCCAACAAGTAGCACACATCTTTAAAATGTTCAGCGGTTTTCACCCACATTAATTAATTCATACATTTCTTTGCATCTTGTCTTGATGGGGAAAGACAAAACCAATTGTAGGTATCTCTTATTAAAACCTCAATGTTTCTTGGTACCTATAGCCTCTTGGTAAGTATGTGAAACAGCTAGGTAGTTGTATAGAGTCAAAATTAAATGGTGAAGATTATACTCTTCTTTGAGAATTTTAAAGACTCCATTGTTTATCCCCACCATCACAGAAGCGTTATCGGTTCCTATTCCCATTATTTTATTTTTTATTCTGCTCATTAATAAGACTGATGAAGGCATTAACTATAGCTCTAGCATTTGCGAAAGATATTGTTGAAGAATTTCCTTGAGTTCTTCACTCAGATATTGTATAACTACTCCCAACTATTTTGTGACAGATTCATCAGTGGATTGATCAAGGATCAGGCTGTAAGAACCTGTGCCGATATCTTTTATAAGCAGATCTTTAAAATATGGTCAAAACTTCGGTAACAACAAGGGTACATTGAATACGGTACATCATCATGTCTTTTGCTCCTCGTTTGACGCTGACACAACTGAAAAATTGTTTGGACAAATCTGTAAGGTGGTCAACACTGTTGATGGAGGAGTGTTCTGCAATATATAAGCTAAGTTTCATACTAACTGGCACTATCGGTATCTTCCTTACTTACAACTATTTGGACGATGTGAAAAGAGCTGAACTGTCTTTATATTTTTTTGTTTCTTTGTGTCTTTGGATGTGGAATAACTTCGCATTTATCTCGATTTTGTAGAACAAACATAAAGCTTTTGACGAATTTCCTGGCACTAGTTTTATCCCACTACACTTATACACTATTTTTAAATATTGTAATACTGCAAAAAAAAACTACACCCTAAATTACTCCGTACTCGGATTATACTTAAAAAAAACTTGGTGGCTTTCCCCAGTAAAGAAGCAGAAAGAATAATAGTCAAGATGCCTTAACAGTAGTGTATGTAGGAAGTCGGAAACTAAATTTGTATGAAAATGACAGTTCTGGGGCCTTAGTCAAGATGCCTTAACAGTAGTGTATGTAGAACGTCAAAAACTAAATTTGTATGGGGCCTTAGTCAAGATGCCTTAACAGTAGTGTATGTTGAAAGTCAGAAACGAAATTTGTATGGAAATGACGGTTCGTGTCGAAAAGTGGCATCTTGACTAACCCCCCTGAAAACTTTTCGACACGAACTGTCATTTCCATACTAATTAAGTTTTCGACTTTCTACATACACTACTGTTAAGGCATCTTGACTAAGGCCCCTGGTCGACAAATTTTATACATCTACTGTTAAGGCATCTTGACTATAAGCCCCTAGGTAGGGTTACCAATGCTGCTAAAGTGTGAGGGACAAAAATTGTTTCATAACTCGTCATATCTCTTGAAAAGGGCTAGATTGCTCTTTTCGGGCTAAATCATGAAAAAACGAGTTCACCTAGTCCGAAAATGGCTATGGTGGCAACACTGAGCGTGGGACTAAAACATCTGTGGTCGAACGCATGTCGTTACTTTTATACTACTAATTAGTAATCTGTGCTTTACTCTATGGAATTTTCTACAAGCATCTTTGATTTTTTTATCTTCTATTGAATTATTTGCGGGTTGGTCAAGAGTGCATGGAAGTTTAATGAAATAGCGATTAATGGTTATAGACTTTTAGTTTAGTCAATTTTATTTAATATCTATCTAGTGCAAGAAGCTTTAAATCTATTCTTACTCAATTCCATAATGGCCAATGAAGTAGCAGTTCCTCCACCCGTTTTGTGGGCACAACGCAAGGAAGACGTTTTTCTCACATTTAGTGTTGAATCCAAAGATCCAAATATCAAAATAGAAAAGGAATCCGTATACTTTAAAGGAGTAAGTGCGCAAGACAATAAAAATTACGAAGTAACTATACCTTTGTACGATGCCGTTGTTCCAGAGGTTAGTGCTTTTGTGAATAAAGGCCGGTGCATAGAAATGATATTACGCAAAGAGAAAAAGGATGCAACTTACTGGCCTTCTTTGACAAAGGATAAGAAAAAGCCTCATTATCTTAAGATAGATTTTAATAAATGGAAAGATGAAGATGATGAGAATGAAGAAGGTGTTGGTGGTAGTGGTGGAGGTGGCGGCGGCGGCCAAGATTTTGATTTCGAATCAATGATTCGTTCCATGGGTGGTGGCGGCGGTGATAAGCTTGAAAAACCCTCCTTTGATGATTTAGAAAGTGATTCAGATGATGAAAATCTGCCAGATTTGGAGTAAGAGTTGGTAGTGCTTACATTATGTATCTTAAGGTTTTTACAGTTATAATAAATTTTTTATGGTAGATCATTGTTTTATTTTATAGGAATAATTGTTTTCAATTTTGCAATGTAAAACTAATAGTGTGAATACCATGACTATAATTTTTAGGTTAGGGTGTATGGTTAAGTATTTACATATATTTAATATAAATCAATTCATACATACTATGATATTATTAGCCTTTACATCAAATATTAAGTATGCAAATAAGCATCAGATACAACTTTAAAAAGTTGGAGCTCTTAAAGTATGATTAAAATTAATTACCAGACTAGGGACATATAATTATCACTATATATACTATTAGGCATTTGACAAAAGTACCTTCACTTTATCATGTGTAAATATTTTCTGTAGCTTTAGGCAGTAAATTTAATCTAATTCAAAGGTTGCATAAATGGTTAAATATAGACAGGTACATTTCACCTTTCAAGGAAATAAATGTTGGTTATGGGTAAATGTCTACCACTAGATATACATTTCATTTTGAATCAATGGATGCATATGATGCCTAATCACAGCAAAAATAAAAGGTTTTTGTTTTAACATTACTTTATTTAGATTTTTCTGTAAGTGTAACATTTACATTAAATAGATGAAACTGTTGCCCATGTCGCCTAATATTTAAAGTAATTGCGATGCAATATATAAGACGGTTGAGACTCTCACACTTCAATATGTATGAAGACCCCTGACCAGGACAAAATACCGGAGCGCCATGACTTTGACAGTCAAACATAAAATATGACGTATCAGTTCTCCCAAAAGCCAAGTTTTTTGCTGGACTTATTAATATACCATTACTATTCTTTTCAAAAAAGTACACCAATGCTTTACTTAAATTAAAACGGTCTGGCTGAATATTGTAAACAAAACCAAATATAACTTTATCAAATTTGAATGAGAATGAGTAGGGATACATATCATCATAACTTGTGTCAAGATATTCTAGTGTAATTTCTTGGTTCTGTTGACCGCTTATTTTAGTATGGCATTTTGTATGATAGTTGTGGCCGTTTTCGACAATTCCATCAAGAAAGCTACCAGTCCAAGCGCTCAGACTACAGGCTTTAGTCATAACCAGCGCGACAACACAGGTGGCTAAGTATTGCTGTCCACGGTGCATCTCTTCAAATTTGCTGTCTTTAGGATGCACTGAGCCCCAAAGTGAATACAAATCGCCAGGAAATTCGATATCCCAGTCCTTCCACATCGCTTTTGGAGTCTTTCTTTCGAAACCCAAATCGTTGACAGGGTTCATACGAGACCACGGAATCGATTCGATATTCAACCAATACATTTTCTCATCTACTAAAGGTCGCACTCGTTTTCGTCTTAAATAGGGTGTATTTGGATTTTCGTCTGGTTTGAAAAGGGGACTCAACCGGTAATTCAAAGCTGAATGCCTTGGAGCAGTTTTGACGGATGTCAACTCGAAAGTATAAAATTCGGGCGAATTCGGTTCTGAAGCAATAAGAGTGAGTCGTTCGACGACAGCATCCACAGATCGGTAAAGGGTCCACGCAGCCACTGCGGCCGCAGTCTTCAGAGAAGTACCCGTTTCAGCTGCCTTCTTTTTCTCAGCTTCGGATGGTTCTGTTTTCTCAGATGGGGGCGGATATGGATCGAACAGGTGATAGTAGCCTTCGCTTTGACAAATTACAACATTGCAGGAGGAAAACCTAACTAAAACGTAGCGAAGCCGCTTCAGCACCGCTCTTATGTACTGGTCAAGACGTTTCTCTGGATTTTCGTTGACGACGAGAATCTTCTTTATGTTCACGTTAATGAATTTTCCATCTAGAATTATGTTCTTAATAACTCTCTTCTCGCAAATGCTTTTATTCGTTGCCTTCTCGAATATCTCCAAACCCTTTTCTATACACGTGTCGACTAGTAAATGATCCCATGTTCTTATCGGGTGCATAGTTGCCAGTAACATCGCGATGAGACAAACAAAATGACATGCTTTAACATCTGTAGATGCCTTTTTATCCTTTAGTGACGTCGTTCCTTCTATCCTATATATTCCATTGATTATTTGGTATCCGATTGCCGTTTCGCTTTTTGGTTCTGTATCAATAGAGGATTTCTTCTTATCAGAAGAGCTTTTTTTTGAGTCTACGATAGACATTTTGGATTTTTCAGACTTAGGTCTGCCGGTTTCAAAGTCGTAATCTTCTGGTAATTGTAGACGTGGTTCAGTCAAAAGTCTCCGTACGATGATTTTGCTCAAAACAAACTGCTGCTCAGGATTTTTGCCATCTTTGTTATACGAAATCCTGGGAAAAGTTATGTTTTAACTTTACTAATTGAATAGTTAAACTTACATTAAGTCATATGCCTATTTATACGAATAACAACTCTAAAGGGAGTTGGGAGCATTCTTATGAAATATTATAAAATTCTTTAAAAAAAATATTTTACGTTTCCATAACAAACTCATATTTATTATTCGCTCACGAAGTTTACCTTTAAGTTAATTGTTTGATATATTTAAACTATTAAAGTAATTCACGAGTTGTATATGCTCTATGTCTTTCTCACAATATTCATTACTTAATAGACAAAAGGCTGATCATCTATTAAAATAATTTGAAAACGGAACTCAAAAAATGTGTCTAACTCTTTACCCATTGGCAGGGCAGATTTATTTCCCGAATAAATTCTCTTACAACTCTTAAAATACTCCTTACCTCACCACCATATCGTGGAGATTCCTAAATCGTAACAAACACGCCTTTCCTTTCCCAGACAGATCCCTCAAACCCATGGGATTGCAAGAACTGCCATCATATAGATAATAAAGGCCATTTTTCTTGAAAAATGCACAGCTGTATGTAGCGGTCGTAACCATTCCACGGTCACCTCTATAGAAAAATTTGTGGTTCAACGTGTTTTCCAGTTGCCAAGTCGGACCTTCGCCTACTACGTCGATTACTGCGCTATATGCCTGTATATTGCAATTTCAATGTCATACAGATCAAAATATAATACAATAGGTAACTAACAATTATGATAATTAAAATATTTAATGATTATTAGGGAAAGATTTTGACATAGGTACGAAAGTACTACTTAGCACTAAGTCTCGACTCTGAATCTCTCTGACTCTTACCCTTTGCTTGATGCTATCTAGCTTTCCTGTATGTTAAGTGATTTTAATATTTGGGAGAGCTTGTTCGAACGTAAATATTGAAACTCTCTAGTAATCTTCATAGTACAAGTATAGAAGTAATTTTGGATTGTGTGGATTTTGACAGCTGAGAGAACTTTTAGATTTGAGCCATTTCCATCCAGCTAAGATGACATTTCCAAGAACATATTTAAATCTAAGCACGTCATTAAATGTAATTATGGTATACCTGATGTCCAATAGCAATCTTCGGTATAACATGAACAGGGGCGAGCTGAAACTTCTGCTGCTTATTCTCATGGAGTTTCTTCGCTGTATCCACGACAAAGTTGACAATACCAACGGTCCACGTGTTCACGCTGTACTTGTATGACGTCACAATCGCCATTATCGCAGCGAACGGCAAAACATCCAAGGTCTTCGTATCGTTAATGGCCGACGTTCCTCTCACAATTTGAGTGTTGTCCGGTAGATTCTTGAAATTGCTGGGTTTGGCCAGCTCTTCGTCGGGACTGATTTCTAATTGATCTTCAGCGAGAGGCTGGGTCATTTTCTTACGGAGTTGGCGTAATTTTGAACGGTAACGCGCGTCCTCTGTTAGTAGAATGTGGCGGTCCACGTTGGTTGCGGGGAGGGTTTGGACCTCGTCTTCTACCACTTCGGCTGGAGCCAGCTGGTGTAAAAAAGGGAGATTCAGTGCTCAATTACGAAGAAAAGAAGAGTTATTTTTTGACGAATAAACACAATATCAGAACAATGGCATAAAAACAATTTTTAGAAGTTAACTAGAGTCTGGCTAATGAAAGAAGATAACTGAATTATTTGCAAATTTTCGGATGGCAAACCAAAATGTCATTGAATTTCTTAGGTTAGTATGATTTATTGTCTTGATACTTCATACAATTACTCATTTTTGTTTCTATTATATATTTTTTAGAAATACAGTTACTATCAATGTAAAAAATAATAAAATAAAATCAAGTATCAAGTAAGTTTAATCCACAAAATATATCAAACTAAATTTTTTTAAATTTGCCGCGCTTTTTCGTTATCTTCTTTCATTAGCAGGACTCTATTAATCAAGACTTACTATTTATTACCTATTACGGAATTTCAATATAAGCTTAACTGTTAAAAAGTAACTTATTTACCGGTACTTCAGGCTCTGGCTGCGGTGAGGGCGGCGGCGGGGGAAGCGGTGGCGGTAATTCCTCAGCCTTCCTTCTGGCTTCCTCTTCTTCAGCCTTTCTTCTCTCTTCTTCCTCTTTCTTTCTTTTCATAGTCTCTTCATCTTCTTCCTCCTCGCCCATCTCTTCCTCCTTAAATTGCAACAAAGATGTTAAAAAAAACATTGTATTGTATTTTATTTCAAATAACATTTAGTGTTACTTTCATATGAATTATCATTCATTTATTTCAACTTCAGAAAATGTTTATAAAGAAAAAAAAAAGATCTTTTACATACTTTACATGATCTTGTTCCCTATCAGCGTTGCTACTAGTGCCTATAACTGCTACATTTGTTATTTGTATAAAGAATTAATTGTGTAAAGGCGCAGAATACCTTGCCTACACAATTTGTAAAGGTTTTTCAAAAAAATATCCAAGTCTCATGAAACTTGTAAATTGTATATTAAAGTAGTTACATAAAATGTAAAAATGCGCGTTTAAATTTGTCTGAAATATTAAATAATAATATAATTGAACAAATCTTACCTCTTCTGCTCCTCCTTCCGGCGGCTGAAACAGATATTCAAGTTTACAATTTTTAAGTCACATAATCTTTATAGGAAAGAAGTTATCGGTTTTCGGTGTCTTTGAA